GCCCCTTCCCCAGGGATGGAGCCCCAGCCCAAGCAGCCCCTTCCCCAGGGATGGAGCCCCAGCCCAAGCAGCCCCTTCCCCAGGGATGGAGCCCCAGCCCAAGCAGCCCCTTCCCCAGGGATGGAGCTCTCCCCAGCTGGAGGAAATGCCCAGAGCAGCACAGGCAGAATGAGGATCACTGTCACTTCTGTTTCCAGTTCACCCAGAATGAAATCAATATTTTTGTTAGCCCTTGTTTCCCCAGCTGCCCCAGCAGCCCTTCCTGGACAAGGAGAGTCCTTTTATTTGAGAGTCTGTCATCAAGAAGACTAAAAGGAGCTTTAAAATCATTATTTAAGCAATGACAGTGCAGACTAAGTTCATGACACAGAACTGGCTCATCCCTTCCAGATCCCAGCAATCACAAGGTCCCAAACACTTCTCCAGGCTGTGCAGACCCCAAACTGTTCTTTATTTGGGTGCTTTAGTTTGAATAGTCAACAATAAAAGACTCTTTAATTGTTTAGTCACTGCAGCCATGAATGTCCCACAGAGTTTACTTTCTTGTTCCATTAATGTATTTGTTTATATTTGCAGAAGGATTCAATCTGATGTAAACTGTGAAATATGTTGTTTACTGAACAAAGACAGGTTCCAAGGCACTTGTTAACACTGAAATCAAACCCGACTCTTAGATATGTATTTGCATTAGTCAGTCACCTCAGTGCCCACAAACCCGGCTGAACACTGCAACGCTTCATTAAACAGTCTGGGAAAGCATCTAGAAGATAAATAACCTGTTGAAAAACTTCGGATGTGTCAATGGTTTGCCATGAAACTGGAAGACATACCAGAGCTTTGTACTGCAGCTTGTATTTGTATTAATGTCTTGAAAACTAGAGTGCAAACCCAAAATTTGCCACTGCCATCAAGTTTACTGTCAGCACTCTGGAGAAGAGAATTGGAATTTTCAGTGATTTTGATAAACTGGATTCTGACAGACATTTGTGCCTGGATGCCATCTGGAACGGTACATCAAGTTTTAACTTTTAGTTCACCATTAGCCAAGATGGATCTGCTGGCAGGGGGAGCAGCCTGCAGGGGGAAACCAGGCAAAAACCCTGAAGGACAGAGCAAAACTGCAGCTCTGACTACCCTGACATTTTGTCTTGCCAACACTGTTCAAATGTGCAGTTGTGGACTGTGACATGCAGAAAGGCTTGCAGGAGCTCAGGGCAGATGATTTCCCAGCAGGGCCGGGAGCCTGCAGGGACCAGCCCTAAGGGAGCAGGCTGGGACAGCCTCCCAAAAATCCTGCAGGTCACATCGGCACTCCCGGCTGCCTGCTGACAATATCAAACACGGCTCACAGATCAAGGGGTATCAGCATCACTGGCTCTTATCTGCTCCCTCAGAGCTCATCTGTCAGGGCAGCAGTGCTGTTTGTGCCTGGCTGACCCCGGGCTGGGCTGGGCTGGGCTGGGTGGGGTTATCTGCAGAGCCAGGTGTTGCAAGACTCGGTTTGCTCCCACATTCACCTTCATCCGGCCCAGCAGCTGAAGGCCTGGAAGATGAAACAGTGCTTAGGCTGGTGACACAATCAGTGGTCAGCCACAATGATCCCTCCAGCCTTGACCAGCCAGAGACAGCAGCAGCCCCTGTAAAGCAATCAGAAAACACGGCACTGTGTTAAAGGGCTGCAGGGCATCTGAAGGCTATTGAGGCTGCAAACAACTGACAGGCAGTCTGAGCCTAACATGGGTTTTAAAAACTCCTTATCTCCTTTGCTGATATGTTTACTACCGAATTACTTCAATACAGTCTACAGACATGTAAAGAACAATCAACATTTACATCTGAGTGATTTCAGCCGCCCAAGCTGCAGCAGCAGGACTCTGCTGGGTACACCAGGAGCTGTTCTGTGCACTGTGTGCAGCACAGCCCACGTCTCAGAGCTGAAACAACGCCATCATTCCCAAAATCTGGTCTTACAAATCCTTCCCAGCTGACTGAAGAGTGAAGTTCTACCTCTGGCTCTGACACAGCTTCCCCTGTCGTGCCATGGGCACCACCAAGGCTGCCAGACCTGGCACTGCCATTGCCCTCCAGGCCCATGGACAAAGAGCAGATTTGCTTGTGTGGCAGCTTTCTCTTGCTCAGCTCTTTCCACAATGCAAAGCCAAAAGCAGGCAAAAGTCCTTGCTGCCTCTTTTGCACATTTATTTGGGTTTAAAGCTTTGACTGTTCCTGTGTTACTGTGTGACATTTTTTAAACTTGGAGACTCCTGCTCAACCCCTGGGTATTTTGATTGAATGGCATTCTGGGGGAATTCCATGCTGTCCATAGAAAAATACAGACACCCCTAAGAACCAAACCTCTCATATGTTTCCGTTGTGTTCAAGGAACTTTTTCGGTTGATAAATGGAACAAGTATTTTCCTTTCTCTTTTTCTGGTACAGACCCACCGCTTTGCTGGATTCACCTGCTGCTCCACAGCATTCATGGGAACCACAGGCAATGAAAAAGGACTGGAGTACAACCCTGGTTTTATCTGGGATGTCACCTTCCAGAGATGCACTGGCAATTTTTAGAGTGAGAAGGTGTTTCTCTCATTATTAGTTAGAGAAAGTTCCCCAGACCTCAATACCTGCCAAGACTCACAACCACAATTTTGCACCCCCAATCTGGGACCAGGGGCAGACTGTTGCAGTGATTCCTCACCCAGAGGAAAAGGCCATCACTTGGTGACCTGCACCACCACCTCCTGCTCTCTGGGACCTCTGAACTCTCCATCTCCCAGAGCTGGTGGGATCCCGGCGGGAAGCACTCATTTCTCACTGCCCTGACAGGAGATTCTGGCAGGACAAGCTCTTTAAATGAACCAAGTGAAAGAGTGAAAAGCCCAAAGAGAACTGTGCTGTGTGAGCACTGCTGCCAGCAGTTCCACTGCAGTGGGACACTGCCACGGGGCAGGGAAGAACAGGCCTTTTTCTCCACAAGGGCTTTTGCTGCAGACAGGAAGTTTGTTTTTTGAATTAGTCACCGGTTTCACTCCAGGCTGATTATACCAGTTTCATTACCATACAATAGCCCTGTTTCCATGCAAGCGCTATCAAGATTACATTTATGGTTCCAAAAGTTGTTTCACCACACCTACACACAAGCAGTGCTGCACATATAACAGATAAGTGCTCTCTCTGTTCTGTGGGCTTACCTAAAATCCATCACCTTTCGGGTAAACTGCTCCTGGGGCCGGGAGAAGGGGGTTGACAGCAAATAAAGAACACGGAAATAGACCTGAACTTTGACAACTATGCATATTTTGACTATAAACATCACATCTATGAGTGGGATATAAACATGCCATTGAACATGTTCTTTATCAATTAAAATAAAGTGGCATTATGACACCAATTCAAGACAGATGATATGTGATAAGTTCTGGCAGCACAGGCTACTTTTGCAATAGTGATAAGATCTCTGGCAGGACTTTTGATGGAAATAATGAACTTTTTCTTCTGTGTATGTGTCAGCTTTTTCTCTCTCTTTTCTTTTTTTTTTTTAATAACTTTATTTACACCCACCAGCAGCTGTGGTTATTTTTTGAAAAAATGAAACTTGGGTATTTTGCATTTGAGGATCTTTTGGCAGAGGAAAGTCCCAGTAGGGCTTTACCTCCCCAGCAGGCCCAGGAGAGGCAGGACAGGGATGACTCCACACAAAGCAGCTCCTGCTCAGGAAGTTGCTTGCAGGAGGGAGATGCTGCACTGGCTGAATCAGGGCAGGAACCAGCTCATGCCACTGCAAACAGCCCCGTCACAGCAGCAGCTCTGGCCTGAGTCACCTGCAATCTGTGCTGCCACTTCCCTCTGACTGTCTGGGGGTTGAGCAGACAGAGCAGTTTCACTTATTTTAAACCCTGTCCCTGGAATTACCCTGCCTACCTCGTTTCACTCCATATGTGCACATCCTGACTCTGGAATGAGAAATCCTGGTGCCACTGGGTTAAGAGAAACACCCATTAGGCAGTCTTGTTGCAGATGTGTATTCACATACGGAATTATCGAGAATAACCCAAGGTGCAGACAAGTTAAATATTGTATTTAAATGCTGTTGGATGCTGGATTATTTTTGTCATCTTCTCCTTCCTCAGCCCCCCAGAGGAACCCCAAACCAACCTAAATCATGCTGCTGCCAAATCCAAAATAAGGGCTGTGGATCTAAAAAAAAAACACCAGAAGAGTTGCTTAGAGGGTCCCCCGGAGCTGCGGGCACGGCCCCCACCATGGGCCGGGCACGGCGGGCCCGGCAGCGCCGGGAACGGGCGGGGGACCCGGGGCAGGGGGAGCCGCGGCTGCCGCTCCCGCTCCGCGCTGGGCGCGGGACCCCGACGGGCCGGGAGCGGCCCCGCCTGAGCCGGGGGAGCCCGTCCCCTCCGGAGGGACCGTGGGCAGGGCAGGGCAGGGCAGGGCAGGGCAGGGCAGGGCAGGGCAGGGCAGGGACCGGCCGGTGCCCCCCGGGCAGGGCGGGAACCGCGGGCAGGACCGGGACGGACCCGCCGGTGCCCCCCGGCCGGCGCCGCCGGGGCCCGCGGAGGGGCGGGGCTTGTGCAGCTGCGCCCGCCTCGGGCAGCCAATGGGGGCGGGCGGCGCCGCGCTGCAGCCAATGGGCGGGGGCGGGCCGCGGGACGCAGCCAATGGGGCCGGGCCGGGCCGCGGGACGCAGCCAATGGGGCCGGGCCGGGCCGCCATGGGCCGCGGTAGCGCCGTCCCGCCGGGGCCGGGGCCGGGGCCGGGGTTGGCGGCGCCGCGTCCTCCTCCTCCCGTTCCTCCTCCCGTCCCTCCTCCTCCTCCCCGGCGCTGCCCGGTGCCGGGGCTGTCCCGGCGCGGCTCCGCGGGGCGCGGCCGCCGCCCGCCCGCCCCGGAGCGGGGCCGCCCCCCGTCCCCTCCCCGCGCCCGCCCCGTCCCCGCCCGCCGCGGCGGCCCCGAGCGGGAGGCGGCGGAGGGAGGCGGGAGCCATGCGGGAGTACAAGGTGGTGGTGCTGGGCTCGGGCGGCGTGGGCAAGTCCGCCCTCACCGTGCAGTTCGTGACCGGCTCGTTCATCGAGAAGTATGACCCCACCATCGAGGACTTCTACCGCAAGGAGATCGAGGTGGACTCGTCCCCGTCCGTGCTGGAGATCCTGGACACGGCCGGCACCGAGCAGTTCGCCTCCATGCGGGACCTCTACATCAAGAACGGGCAGGGCTTCATCCTGGTGTACAGCCTGGTGAACCAGCAGAGCTTCCAGGACATCAAGCCCATGCGGGACCAGATCATCCGAGTCAAGAGGTACGAGCGGGTGCCCATGATCCTGGTGGGCAACAAGGTGGACCTGGAGGGCGAGCGCGAGGTCTCCTTCGGGGAGGGCAAAGCGCTGGCCGAGGAGTGGAGCTGCCCCTTCATGGAGACCTCGGCCAAAAACAAAGCCTCGGTGGACGAGCTCTTCGCCGAGATCGTCAGGCAGATGAACTATGCGGCTCAGCCCAACGGGGACGAGCCGTGCTGCGCCTCCTGCGCCATCCTCTGAGGGCGGCGGCGGCCCCGGCCCCGCGGGAACAAAAGCATCGGCAACAAATTCATCGTCTTGGAAATGTGGCTTTTCTCGGCATGTACGTTTCGTCCAGTCTTGGTCGTGGCATATTTCCTGTCAGTGCCGGCGGCGGGCGCGGGAGGAGCCGGTCCCGCCGCCCGGGGAGCGGAGCCACGCGGGGAACCCGCCCCGGGACACCCGTGGGGAGCGGAGCCCACATCCCGGGATATCCCCGGGGAGCGGAGCCGGCATCCCGGGATATCCCCGGGGAGCGGAGCCCACATCCCGGGATATCCCTGGGGAGCGGAGCCCACATCCCGGGATATCCCCGGGGAGCGGTACCGACATCCCGGGACACCCCGGGGAGCGGAGCCCACATCCCGGGATATCCCCGGGGAGCGGAGCCGGCATCCCGGGATATCCCCGGGGAGCGGAGCCCACATCCCGGGATATCCCCGGGGAGCGGAGCCCACATCCCGGGATATCCCCGGGGAGCGGAGCCCACATCCCGGGACACCCCGGGCCGCCCTCCCCGGGTCTCTATGCAAGCGGGCGGCGGAGCGGGGCCGTCCCCCCGGAGAGTTGCACATGGAACTGGGACTATGACCCGGACGGTGCTGCCAGGCACGGGGCGCCGGGCAGCGCTGCCGGTATCCCTGGAATAATGCTCTATTTTGTTTACCTGCTGTATCGGATGGGAGTTTGCAGGAGAGTGGTAGCGTGGTGGGTTTCTCCTGGTTTTTATTTGTTTTGGGGTTTTGTTTGTTTGTTTATTTTTTTAAAATCAGCTGTGAAAATGTTACAAATCTGCACAATTTTCGAGGCGTGCGTGTGTGTGTGATTTCGTTGTGGTTTTGGTTTTTTCCTTTGGTGGGTGGGAACGGTGGTGCTTTTTGTGCCGAGGGGTTTCGGGTTTGGGTTGGCAATAACTGATTTTGATGACTAGCTCTCTCAAGTGCAAAGACTTCCTATGAGTGATGCAGGGCCAACAGCAGCCCTGTGTCTGCAGAGTGCCTTCAAAACTCAGCTGTTCCAGCCGGTGCCAACCTGTGAAAGCTCCACAGAATCCCATTATCTACTACTCCAAAAACTACTTAACAGTTTCCTTGCAGTAATCACACCGAGCAAGCCAGGACAAAAGGGCCTATTGTTAGTGGAATTTATTTCTTATGTCCATCTGAGCCTTTTAACTGTTATTTCCATGTCTTGCAAGTTCAGGCTTAATTTACTTCAAATTTACACGAATTTAGCCTTTTGGGATTGGGGGGGGGGGGCTTTTTTGGTTTTTATTCTTTTCCCCTTTGATTTTGTCGTGGGATGTACCTCCAGCCAGCAAAGAAGGAAATCTTATCGTTGTGATGTACCAAGAAAATTCTAACAACTGCCATTTTAATTGCAGACATGCATTGAAGAGATGTCTATCCATTTTAATACAGATCCTGTTTTTTAGAAAACAACTTTGTGCACTGTTATGTATCACATGAAACACTGACTTTCTCACAGGCTGTTAATCCTGATTTGTATCTCAATGGCAGGGAAAGGTGGGGGGTTGATTTAGCTAAGGACAGTGTTTAAGAAGCATGCAGACCAGAAGATTGCTGTTTTACCTAACATTTAGCCATTTTTAATGCAGTGTTCTGCTTGCCCTCAGGCCCTGGCCCAGTGTGATGCCAGCCTGGGAGAGGAAGGCTGTGCTCAGAGGAAGCTCTGGGAAGGGAGCGTGCCCTTAATGGAACATGCCCTGGAGGGTCAGCCCCTTGCTCCTTACTGGAACCAACGTGGTTTATTGGGGTGAAATTCTAAAGGTCTATTATTTATGAAATTTGAGCTCTTAATTTCATTGCATTATCACTCTTTAAAATTATAAATCGTATCTTTATTTGTTTCCTGGTTTGCTGAGGCTTGGGCTGGGAGGAGATCTGTGCCTCCCCTCAGCTGGAAGATTCAAGGAGCGTGTTCACCCCCATTTTGTTCCTCTTAGCCCCTTCTTTAAAGGTTTGCTCACAAAACCTGCGACTCTTTTGTTTCCTTTTTTTTTTTTGCCCCCATCCCAGGAAGACATGAAGTTGTCTTACATCACAAGAACAAAGGTTAAGCAATGATGTATAAAGGGGTTTTTAATCAGGCTAACAGAAAACTAACTGCCATGATTCCTCTGGGAATCTGGTCATTTTAAGCAGGAAAACTTTGTGCCTCAGCACTGGAAGAACAGTGTGTAGTGTTAGTTTATGTATTGAAATCCCAGCGATCGAAATAAATATTGTAATTTGTGCTTTAGCCAGAATTGGACACTTTTTGTAGCAATGTCAAATACCTACTGAAAATTTGGGATACTTACATGCTGAAAACATCTCCTCCTGAGCAATCGTGTCCCTCCACAAGGACCTGCTCTGATCCCATCAGTGGGGCTGTGTCAGTCTCACTGATAACAATCACAGCCCAGAGGGCTGGAGGAGCTGGTCCCTCCCTGCTGCCTGTGCCTGCTTGTAACAGAAAAATTGATCCAAGCCCCCATTTTTAAGTGAAAATTGAAAACCTCGTTCCAGAAATTCCTAAAAATGAATTGGAAGCCAGAGGACTCCCGTGTTAGGAGGACAGGGGAACGAATAACTCTTATTGACAGGGGCTTCTTTTACCCCAAGTACTGCACTGAAAGCTGAGGAAGCTCCACGTCTGCAGCTCAAAAACTGCATGGCTGAAGTTTTAGATAAAAAGGCCATAAATTCACATCCCAGCTACTGCCGTGGTTCAATTTTGCCTTAAATTCCCTGGGAATGTAGAGTTTCTGGCTCCCAACAGGCCTTGCTCTAGGTCAGTGTACAGACAGCAGCTTGTTGTGGTTGATAACAGCAGGTATTTTTATGTCCTCCCCAGGAGCAGCAGATCCCTCGTGCTCTCCAGTGCCTCTGTCTCCCCTCTGCCTGGGATCGAGGAACAAGCACAAACGGGTGTTTGTAGCACACAAAGTCCAGCTTTGCTGAGCCTGGCAGAGCATCTGAGGGCAGCCTGCTGAGCTCTGCCTTGTGCTGGGCCTTTCCTTGGTGCGCTCTGGTTCTGGCCCAGAAGGGGGATTTGTTGACCAGTGGAGCCTTGAAGCAGCCATGGCATGGTCTGGGCAGGGCTTTGAGTGTTCCATGTTCTGTGGGATCGATGAGGACAGTGCAAAATGTAGAGCTCAGTAGTCTGATCTTCCAAATACTCTGAAGTGTTTTGGTGCTTGTTAAATGTAGACCTGGTCTATGAAAAGTCTGGAAAAAAAAAAAAAATCATCCTGCTTTAACTTGACTGAGTAATGAAAGCTATATTAGCTTCGACACTTGAGGGAAATGTTGTATCAATATAAAGGTACTCTTTTATTCCTTTTCCCTGTGGGAATATGTTACACCCGTGTCAATACAGAGGTGGTATATTGCTCTTTTCACAGTGAGAATTGCAAATATGTAATTGTTTTGGAAGAAAAATGACATTCCTGGCCAAAATATTTCCTGACAGTGCAGAAATTGTGTAAACAGCGCCTTGGTTTAAGGCTGGTCTTGTGGCCACATATTTTGCTGTACATAATGATTGTATTTTTAAAAATCCAAGCTTGTTCTATTGCAAGAAAGTGTGTCTGGTATCCCAGTCTCCATGATTGTAACCGTGCCGTGTTCTCAGCCTCAGTCCCAGTACGAGCGTGGTTCTCTCAACGTGATGCTCAGGCTTTGTTGATGCTGATGGTGCTGGAGCTGATGTGGAATTCTGTGGCTGTGGGATTCTGGTGGTTCTGCTTCTCTCAAAAGAATGTAAAGCAAGTTGTTTGCAAAGGGCATTTTAAATAAAGGGCAGCTGGCTCTTTATGACCGCCTCACTCGGGTGCTCATTGTGTGCAGGTGCTGTTCGGGGTCACATTTCCTCAAGGAATGACAAAATGCACAAACTTCCACATTCTTTTGGGATTTTGGATGAGCAGGAGTGGCACGTGTGCTCTTCTCCTTTGGAATGCACAGACACCTCCCACGGGTCCGTGGAGGATGTGTGTGTCAAAGATCCCCCGTCCTGTCACACTGCAGCAGCACAGTGCTCTGGAACCTCGTTTTTGTAGGAATGCACATCTGCCCAGCTTCCAGAACTTTGTGTTTGGGGCTGACAGTCTTGGGTAAGTGTGTGTGCAGCAGAGGAGAGGGCTCTGAGAGCAGATTTTAGTACAAATGGCTAAAGACACTCAACTGGGTTATAGTGGTGAGAAATGGGCTGGACGTGTGTTGCTGGGGTTGGGTGTGTCGGGTTTGGGGTTTTTTGTTTATTTTGGGGTTTAATTTGTGGGGGCTAAGGGTTGGTTTGTAATGGAGAATCTCTCTGTGCTTCCCAAGAGTCAATGTGTGTGCGTGTGTGTGCTCTGACATCACTGGGGTTGGAGTTGGAGTTCCTGCCCTGCCACAGATGATCTCAGCCCAGGTGATCTCAGCCATTATCACGCTGAAAAAACACCCAAGGAAACGTGAGCTGGACAACAAGGATGGGCCAGAGCAGAGATGGACCTGCAGAAAGCTCCAGAACAGCCACTGTGGCTTCCCTTTGCTGTTGCACATCTCCCAAGGGCAGGAGTGCCCCAGCACACTCCGGGGCTGCTTTGCTGCTGTCGATGCCAGAGGTGACTCATGGTGCATAAAGCACATCCTGTGTGTAAATCCTCGACCTGCACTATCCAACAAGTCTCAGATCCTACATCAGCCCCTCTAAAATTATGAGTCAGTTAACCAGAACTTACAAGTTGTTCGAGTAAGTCTTAAGATACTGGAAACAGTTGTTCTGTAATGACTTTATTCTGTTTTGGCAGTCTGGAGTCTTCTGGAGGGTTGAGTGAAGAGGAGACTGATCAAGGAGCCACAGCTTTGCTTTGGGAGACCTCGACACAGAGGGAGTTTTAGGACAATGGTGCCTGACATGTAACTTCAACCTTAATGATTTAAACTCCTGTTTATTTCTACAAAGTTCTCCAAGGGGACTATATAAAATAAAGTGCTTAGTGAGTGGATTTGATGTCCAGGTACAGACAGATCCCAGATGTTTCTCCTCTGCTTGACAGACTGATAACAATTGTGCAAGAAATGCTGCAGCAACTGGACTGGTCAAAATGATCAGAAATCACTAGAGCTTTTGCCTTTTGATACAGTCATGTTAATTTGTGATACTAGGTGATGGGGAATGTTTGAGGTCGCTTTTGGGGATGGTTGTAAATGGACTTCTGGGTAAAAACCAATGTGAAATTGAAGTTGGTTGGGTTTTTTTTCTTTAAATTATGTATTGCAAAAGGTACAGGTCAGCATTTGTAGCAGATGCCCCTTCACAGTTCCTCATCTAACCCTTTGTTTCTAGAGTGTTACTGCAGTTATCCCAATTTCAGCAGCCAGGGCAGAGGTGCACTGGATCCACTCCTGTCCAGAGGGGTAACTGGAAAGATGGGTGCCTGCAGATATTCCAAAAATACTCTCTGCAGAAGCATAAAATGGACACGTTT